AGGTTGCTGGGGTTTTTGTTTAGCTTCTAAATTTGTAACAATGTTTCAAACTGCAAGCTCAGAGGCCAGCAGCGGCAAAGGCGGGGAACGTTGGTTTCCTGTCACTGAAGCAAGCAAGCCTCATGTTCGCTTCAAGCTGCCTGGCTGCTGGCTGCCATCTTGGCTGGCAGTTAATTTGCATATTGCCCTGATTAGCCAATGGGAAGGGTAGTGGAGGTATGGCTAATTACCATGTTTCTCTTTTATTAGATAGGATAATGTTCTAATAAAATGTTTTCAGTCAAGTGCTATTAATTTCCCCTCCCAAATTTGTGATTTTTCAAAGAATGACTATGAATTCAATAACATTTACATGTGAATTTGTCTTTTATTAATCACTAGAGGCTCAGTGCATGAAATTTGTCTATGGGGGGGCGTTGGTGGAGGGTGTCCCCTCAGCCCAGTCTGCACCCTCTCCAATCCAGGACCCCTCGGGGAACTGGGCCTAAACTGGCAGTTGGACATCCTTCTCACAATCCGGTACCACTGGCTGGTAACTGCTCACCTTTCTGCCTGCCCGATCACTCCTAACTGCCCCCTCTGCCAGCCTTATCACCCCTAACTGCCTCTGCCTGCTGGCCTGATTGCCCCTAACTGCCTCCTCTGCTGGCCTGGTCGCCCCACGCAGCCTGCTGTTCTGTTGTTACTGTGAGGGCATCCTGACCAATTTGCATATTACTGTTTTATTAGTATAGGTAGATGACAGCATCTACAGACATTTGGAAACAAGTAGATTCTGCAGGTGTGAAACCTGGTCTTTTTAGTCTAGTGCAGCGGTTCTCAACCTGTGGGTCGCGATCCCTTTGGGGGTCAAACGACCCTTTCCTAGGGGTCGCCTAAGATCATCGGAAAACATATAATTACATATTGTTTTCGTGATTAATCATTATGCTTTAACTATGTTCAATTTGTAACAATGAAATTGGGGGTCACCACAACATGAGGAATTGTATTAAAGGGTCGCGGCATTAGGAAGGTTGAGAACCACTGGTCTGGTGCTTCATGCATATGGATTTTTGCTCCCCTTGAAGTTGTTCTTCAGGCTGCTCAGCAGTTAACATACTATAGAGTGGGAACCATTCTCTTATTATCTCTATTCCCATGCCCACCTTTAAGTCATCTGGACTACACAATTATCCTAACTGGCTTAAGTGTTAAGTCTACCTTCTATACTGCCATCACATACTTGACTAAAATATGTAACTCACCACATCAGTTCCTTAAAACCTCCAGCAGTGTTCCTGTCACCTTAGCACAGCTTATAAAACTTTCCATAAATTGATTCCTGCCTCTTTATTAACTCAGCATTACCTTTTGCTGCTTACCCCAGGAGTACCAAACTCTTAATTTAAGTCATATGAAATTGCCTTTTTTGTAGGTCAAAAACTGTTAAACATCAGTAACGTAGTATGATCTAACTTGTACAAATTACAAGTTTATGCCTTTATATTATTAGACAAAAGATTAAAACCAGTTCCATGGGACAATCAAATTCATTTGTTTCATGCCTCAGTGTTTTTGCTTATGTTCTTCCCCCTGCCTAGTTCACCCAGTTAGAAATGACTCGCAGGTAGTTGGTTCTTATCCCTCTCATTGTTCACCTTCCACCTGTGCTTCCCTCTCTTTTATCACTTCCCACACTGTGCTGTCTTTCTTTTTCTTTCTTCACAACTAGACTGTAAGGATGGGGGTGGGGGGGAGCTTCACCTTAAGTAACTTTGTATCCCTCTATTCCAAGCACGTAGCCTATGATAAACAGGTGTTTGTTGACCTGAACAGGTTGTGTTAGACATCTAATTAGTCAAAATTAGTGACTGAACTTCATTGCTGTTGATTTTCTTTTTCAGCTGAAGAAAGCAGTAGTAGTGACAGTATGTGGTTAAGCAGAGAGCAAACACTGCACACCCCAGTTATGATACAGACACCACAACTCACCTCAACAATTATGAGAGAGCCCAAAAGATTACGACCTGAGGATAGCTTCATGGGTGTCTATCCAATGCAGACCGAACATCATCAAACTCCTCTTGATTATAAGTAAGTACATTTGATTATTTTCTGTACTATAACTTTATTAATTACATAGAAAAAAAGTTAAGTTAAAAGAGGAATAAAATTCTCCTTGAAGCACGCAGGTAACATGGATGTTAGCTCAAAGACAGCAAGAGGAAGCAAGGCAACAACAGGAGAGAGCAGCAATGAGCTATGTTAAACTACGAACTAATCTTCAGCATGCCATGTAAGTGAGAGTGCCTTATTGTCTGAGTCTAGGAAGTACAGTAATTCATTTGAACATATTTTAATGTGTGCCTTACCTAAAAATTTCAGCAAACTCTCTAGAGTAAGCTGAAATAATCAAGGAACTGAAAATTGGTCTTTCCAACAGAAAAAGAAACTTTTAAAGTTAAATATTAACTAGTTAGCTAAAGGACCACTCTTAGTTTGATCTGTTGGAAAAGTTTAAATCTGAATCCTTGTTTACTTTGGTACACAGAATTATAGCTAAAATTCTAGTTTTGTTACATCTTAATTGATTCCCCACCTTAGTTCAGGCCCTCATCTCTCACCTAAACTATTATATTAGCTTTCTGATTCGTTTTCTTCCCTTAAAAATCTCCTATTTATCCTCTCACCAAATCCCCCTCTCACTCCTTCCACCACCACTCCATCATTCACACCACCATCCAGAATTACTATTCTAAAATAAAAATCTGATCATGTAACTCTTTTACTTAAACCTTTCCATGGCTCCCCACTGCCTGCAGGATAAGTTCAAAGTCCTTAGCTCATGGCATGCAAGATCTTTCAAAATATGGCCCCTGCCTATATTTTAGTATCATATCCCATTCCCTGGAAACTGGTAAAATCATCATAAAAGAACAAGTTCAGGTATCACCTTACAAGAAGATGCGGTAATCTATGCTCTTATAGCATGATATTTATATTTCTTGTAGTATTCACCACATTGTATTATAGTTATTTGTTTATGAATTTTCCCTTTCTGTAGACTGTGAGCTCCTCAAGGGCAGGGACCGCTTTATGCTTGTCAGTGCTTTGCACATAAAAAATGCTAAGTAAATGTTCATTGAATGAATAAATGTCCAGTGCAAAAAAATTGCGTAGTTTAACTTTTGTATACTTTGTTTTTACTGGAATCTGTATGAGAGTTTTTATAAATCTTTATTAGCTTTGGCTTCAAAAGAAATATCAGTCTTTAAATGATTGGCCCAAAGGGAAAAATATGATGACTGATTATTTTATTTATGGTTTTTGACTTTGATAGCTTTGTATTTGTAACATAATGTAGTATATGTTTTAGTACTGAGAGATGGTAATTATTGCCATTTTAAATTTTAGTTTGTTTTGTTGGTTTTTAAATGATGAGAATTTCACCTGTTTTTCTTAAATTATCATTTACCACATGAGTAGTATCTTATTTAAACTCACTGCAGTTATCTGTGGCAATCTTAAGAACCTATAAAAAAGTATACTCAAATCACATGTGTATATTCTGACCTCAACTTGTCTAGTATGGTTAACATACATACCAGTGGTTCTCAACCTTCCTAATGCCG